TGGGTTGTGTCCCAGTTCCCTGCACTTTCTGGGATAAGCTCCAAACTCACTGTGACATTGCATTTGATAAGTGGTTATGGAAGATAGATGAATGTTTGCACGATGAAGCTTACCTTAAGACCCCACCCCCCCACCCCCCAACTAAGGGAAATCCACTTCACTTACAACAACATATAAAAACACAGAACTTGTTCAGAGCAAACAAGTTAACGGGTTAGGACTAAACAGTCTGTATCTAGTGGTTTTTAAAAATATTTGGTCTGTAAATAAGTCACTTAAATATTTCCTCCATTTTTGTTTTGCTTTGCCCACTGGGGGCCACAAATCATGGAGCAAACCATGATCCAATTTCTGCGTGATATAATTAAAACAGTCATACATATGGCCATTTTTACATTTGACAGTTGCCAAAACACACATGCACGCATATTACTGTATATACATTCAAATAAAACTGAATACAGAAATACTTACAAAGGTGTAAATTAAAAATTCTATAAAATGTATTTTTAAATTTAAATGTGCAGAATACCGTTGCTCTTAAAATGATGACAAATAAAATATCACACACTCAGATATGTGCTATCAGCATAAAATGTGTCAGAATTTTAAGTATTTATTTTTACAATTAATATATATTGTAGATTTTTCTTGTCATGTAATTATGTGTTTAGGCCAACATTTTATACAGACTTTTGTCTGCATTAAGATGCATATCATTGTATTTATTTATTTTGAGTTTTGGCACAATTAATCCAAGAAAAAAATCTGGTAAAACAAATCTGGACAGCACTATAAGCAGATGGCGCTGTAAACCCTTTTGTTTATAGACCGTTTTTGTTTATATATCCCTCTCTGGCAGAGATTCAGGTCGCTCTGCATTTTTAGCTTTCACAGCTGATAGTTTTCCCAGCACTGCGAGTCTCCCCAGACACCCACATGGACCAGGAGGGGGCCGAAGGAGCGACAGGCACGCCGGCCCCAGTCTGGAGGCCCCTGGAGGCCCTCCAGTGGCAGATTAGTAAAGCAGCGTCTGGATCTGGGACCGGGGGGGTTATGGGTTTGCAATCCCAGGAGGTGCACTGCTGTCAGACTGTGAAGGAGATGCCTAATCTGAAAGTCTATGGTGAAGTGACTGGTGAAAGCCATGAAACTCCGGAGGAAACATGCGGAGGGGAGGAGGAGGCCGAGAGCCCTACAGAACGAAATTACAACATGAGCGAAACCAAAACCGCTGCTGCTGCTTCTTAATATGACTGACTTTTACGTAACCATACCCCAGCACACAATTAAGCTCTCAAAATAAATGCGGCGCAGGAATTTTAATAGATATATATGTTTTAAAAAACAAAAAACCCAACTGTCTATCACTGGCAGTTAGTGGCTGTGTTTTCATTTAGCCAGAGTCTGGGTTCAATGTGAGCTAAAAGAATTCCCTCCTCCCAAAGGAACTCGCATGCCACATTTATGGCTAAGCACCTGCATGAAAAGAGGGGTGGAAACAGGGGTAAAAGGGGCTAAAAGAAAAAGCACACGGATTTGGGGTATTCACACCGATTACACGTCTCCGACTGGAGGCTGCTCTGGAGAGTGTGGGCCAAAGACTACCTGCAGATGGGATAGGTGGGCTTGTAGGAAGGGTGTCCTCCAGCCCTTGGTTAGCTGAGCACCAAGCGGGCACAAGGTGGGATGCCAGCCACTGGTGCCCGGCCATCTGGCGGGCAGGCGGGCTCGGCGGGGGGCAGACCCGACCGTTACGGAACGCAGAACAGACGAGTCAGGGAGCAAAACCCATCTGTGAAGCCGTGAAGCCGTAACTGACAGGGCAAGGGCGGGACCCCGAGGCAGGCCGGGGCGCCGGGCCTGATGCGGTTCGGGACTCGGCCGTGCAGAGGCAGCGGGGTGCCCGCAAATGGACACTTTCCCGATGCTCCTCCCACCCCCCTCTTCAAGCGCTCGCGAGGCGAGGCACCGATGGAGACAGCAGAGCCCCCCGCAAGATGGGGACACACAGAAAAAAATCAATTAGCAGTTTGTATGCACATAGGTCTGATGACATAATCTCTGGAAGCCACGACGTTGCCGGCTTTTCCAGTGACTCAATGATATTTCTTTTACTGCCTCCTTTGAAAACTTTTTAAATTTCCCCCAATCCGATAAATCTAATAAAAATGATTCAAGCATGAAGCTTTCATCCTTAGTGACCCCAGATGCTCCCAGGCAAAAACCTCCCACTTAGTCCACTGCATGAGAGAAAACTGTGACCAAGTGATTACAAGTCACCTGACTCCCCCCCCCCCCCCCCCCCCCCAGACCCCCATCCCCTCCTCACCCCATAGCTTCAGCCCCAAACCGACACAGCATGTTATGAATTGTTAAAGAAACACACTTTTATCCCAGCTACTGCTAGCGGCCAAAATTCAACTGAAACCCTATAGATCTGTATACACCAAGGGCATATCCTTACGGAAAATCTAGCTCTAATGCAGATTTTGATCCTTTAGAAAATTACAGAAGATAAATCAAAACACTGCTGAAATAAGGCATAATAAATTACGAAAAAGCAAATAATTGCCATCTGGATTTTTGAACATTAAAACCAGTAAACAGTTGTAAAAGGGTGTAATTCTTGTATTTAATTACAGTAAAGTGATTCCACCCATATGTTATAAATACGTATTATATACCTATATTTACATACTACTGATGAGAGGCTTATTTATAGCTGAAATAATCAGCTCTGGACTCAGTGTGAGGCTGAGTTAGCTAATAACGTGACGGGGAAACTAATTGGAACAGAGTTGCCTTGCAGAAATAATGCATCACAATCTTTAGTTTGAGATCCAAGTTAAACAAATAGCTGACACATGTGGTCTAAAGCTAATTGCCAATTTTTTTTGTGCGCGTGTGTTATGTGTGTGTGTGTGTGTGTGTGTGTGATCGCACGTTTATTTCTGTCAGTGACGTTGCCAATATAAATCACGGCAAATATAATCAAGGCACCAAATGCTGGGGAAGAGCTTGAGTGGAATCCAAACAACTTCACTGGAGGCTTAATTGGAAAAATGCCCATGTCTGGCCGCAGTGAACTGTCTCACCTGTTTCTACTTAGAATAAAAAACACCGACGTTTCCGTTTGATGTCAGCGCGGGAGCAGCCGTCTCAGTCCGGAAAACTTCCCGGTGAACATGTGAAGTCCTGCATGTAGTCTTTAATGCCCACCCCTAGTGTCATCCATTAATGTGGTGAGCTCAGATTTGGGATGCTGACAGGGTCGTATACAGACTACGCCTGGATTAAGCACCAGGCCAGACTGCTACACATGTATATTATAATGAAAATATTTACTTCCAATGAGAAACTGACAGAGATGAGAGCAGAATACGCTTCGAACATCCATATAACTTGAGTGTTTAACAAGCAAAATCAAACTCACCCTTGACCTTTAAACCCCCTGCCTGACTGTGATGTCTGTTGTAGATCACTGTACAGTTGCTCACTCCACTGTGAAGACCATGGAAAGGTGACCTGTGAACTGCCTACTCCTTGTGAGGTCGAACCCAGGCAGGAGGAGAGCTGTGTGAGTGGTGGATTAACATCTCCCGACCCATGTGATTCAGCTCCCAGACAGGCGTGTACTACCCTGCCAATAATCTATATTAATTACATCTGTTTTTGACCCTGTTATCCTATGATCGTTCTCCAAACACCCCCTCCCCACCTCTGCGCACCACCTCTCAGTGGGTTGCATTTTATAATGGTGGTGTAGACCACCGCTAACATTCTGGGGGGTCACCAGCAAATGCAGGTGGACGCACCTTGTGGCCAATTTACTCGCCAGAGAGCCTGCGCGTGCAGCAGAACCTACAGTTGATGATATTTTTACGACTTTCACTTCATGACAAAAGATTTTTTTAACACTTTTTTGCTTCTTTCAGCTCAGTGCTGACACAAAAACACAACAATGCACGATTTTTAGACCGCAAGAGGACACTGCATTTGTCTGATTAATTGCTGAATGATTAATTCATCCTGACAGAGCGATGTTAACTGGTTTTAGAACAACTTACCCATGTCACCTGAAGAAGTAAAAGTAACATGTGCCGGGCATTTTCTTCACTCTTAACAGCCTCCTACAATCCCAGTTCAGTAGCACCACTGCCGTCCAGCGAGACGCATATGTTTCGCGTTAAAACACAGAGTTGATTTTCAGTGAAATGCACGACTCGCCGCTTCAAGCAAAACCGATCCGTCAGCTCGCAGAAACTCCAGATAACGCGGTTAAAAGTAACGGGATCTGCGCGTCCTTGGAAAACATCGTGCCAAGTCTCCTGATGCCATTAAAATGCGAAATGAAGTGAAACGTTTTTTTTTTTTTTTACTATCAGCTGGGGTGGTACAGTATGTGTGTGTGTGTGTGTGTGTGTGTGTGTGTGTGGGGGGGGGGGGGGGGGGGGGGGGGGGGGTTAATTAAAGTGAGTAAACTTCCAATCATTTTAAAACCTGGAGCAATTAAAAGAAACATTACGTTGCGGCTGTTATAACCTTATTATGTCCTTAACATTAACATTCATTTAGAATGTTATAAGTTCTAACTAATATTACCTAAAGCACATCCGTATACAATAAGGAAAATGTTTAGGCAAATGAGGTGGATGGTGCGTACGTTTCATATATATATATATATATATATATATATATATATATATATATGCGCCTGTATATTTTCATAAAGTTTTGGCAGTTTTACAGTTTGAGTTCATTTAACATCAAAACTAAACTTGGATAAACAGACTGTTTCAAAAACGAAATGAATAAGCCAATGGATTTAAATCTCCACGTTACTATATTTTTGTGAGAAAGCTTCTGTTATTGTTCAGGTAAACAGTGAATTTACCCAAAATTTTGAAAATCCCGCACGCACAGACAAACGGAACATTCTGCGCACTCAAGTATGAATATATACAAGTATATACCTGAACATCGGTATAGTCACTTACATTCATTTGCCCCAACTCCAACTCCTAATGCGTGCGTCCCGTTAGGAAAATAAAATCCAGTTTGTATGAAGTATTCTTAGCAATTCCTTTTCCGCTGTAGAGAGAAATACGAAACAGTCATACGCACGTTTGCACTATATTCTATCCATCACAGGGCAGATGGAGGTGTGTTCTTGTATCTCTTTAAAGTAATTGTCTTTTTTTTCCTCCAAAAACGCAGTGAAAAAATGATCTTTTCCACTTTCTCGTCTCCGTTCCAGGTTAACGTAAATTTCCAGTCTCGGGTGGCCTTCGCGGGGCAGCAGGAAACTCATTCAGGGGTAAGCTTCTCACTCCTTCATCGGGTTTCCAGTACCGCTGGAGAAAGTGCGCTCATTCATCGGCGTCGGCCGCAGCATCCGCTCTGCGAGGCTCACCGCGGAACAAGCGCACGGCATCTTCGCCAGAGAAATCTGACGCCGCGGCCAGGACCCGCCCACTGAGCTCATTTGCATAATTTATTCAGCACGTGTTAAGCCAAGCAGCGAGATCATTAACCTGCAATGGACGGAAGGGGGAGCCAGAGAGTATGAAGCCCTTTGCTCCTGCAGACTTTGGTGCCACCAAGCTCTGTTAGATGGAAGTAGTTTTTCCATATACGGATGAATGCACTTGCAAGGATTCATTTATAAATACACCCTTAATGTACCAATGCTAAAACTTTCACTGCACATTTAATAATCATGAAACAATAGGCCTAATTACGTAATTAAAGTAAACCTCAATTCAGAATTTCGTTGTTGAATTTGAATACCTTCAGTGAAAAAAATATAAGCTCAGAATCATCCCAGGTCAGGTCAGGTTGGGGAGCATGCGCTGATTAATCATCCCAGTTAACTAAAAAAATGCAATTACTGAAGTTTAAGTGAAAGTATAAGTTACCTTCTCTGATAAAAAAGGGACAAGCCCACCTTCTTAAAGGCATCACCTTTTCACTGACAACTTACTCTTGATTGTATAATTGTCCTTGGCTGCCGAAAGAGGCCTCATTTGGGACACAAGTGCAACACTGAGGTAATCGATTCAGTCAGAACGTACATGAAGAGAAAGCAAACTAGCATCAGCACTGTGTCCTAAAGAAAAAAAAACCTTCTCCTCATTAACGTGGAGCAGTGAACTGTGACATTGATATTATATCACGTCTAGGCCCACTGCACTGCTGATCCTCAAGCCTTTTGGTTCTTCTGGGGAGATTTTTAAATAATATTTGTCTCATTTTACACAGAGCCCCACCTACTTGGACTAAATTTGTCTCTTTGCCTGGTGCTCAGCCGATCCACCCCATGCATAGAGGGGGAAACACGGATTAAAAAAAAAATAGATCTAAACTGTGGTTGTGTTTAATTGCGGTGGCTGGGTTGCAAATACCACACTTTGTAGTTAATGCAATTTACCACAAATTTTTATCGACATCATTTTAATGTACAGCAGATGGCTCGTTTGACACTACTGTGGGCCCAGTTTGGCGTTTTGGTTGTCAGTGGCCATCAGTGGAGCTTTCGATTTATAGGTGGCGGCCGTCGCAAACTGCTCTGGCATGAATTTGGCTCCCGGGAATGTTTATGGTGAACTTTTCACATGCAATGTGTCGCCGATGGGGGCAAAATGTAGGATTCACTCCATTATGGGTGGAAGGGCGGCCTTAATTAGTGATGAATGTGCTTTGTGGAAGGTCTCCTCATTAACAATGTCTGTGAAGTGTTGGGGTAATTATCTGAAGCTGATCGTTGTCACAGAATAAATACTCAAACGTTGATTAGTACATGGGCTGTCCCCCTGATCCCCCCCCGGGAGGTCAACAGCATCTAGTGCCCTATGAAGCTCATCTGTAGTCACTGGGAGAGAAATGGAGGATTGAACATCTTATTCAGATGTGATGTAAGATCAGAGAAGATTTGCTGAGATGGTTAACGTACCCGCCTCCCCCCCTCCCACTCCAGGTGATGTACTGGGAGATTTGGCAGACCGTTTCCCGTCTCCAGCCACGTTTGCCTCTGTCCCAGCCGGGCACTTATTCCAAGCAGGTGTTTGAGCATCTGCCTGACATTCATCCTCTCCCTCCATGGGAAACTGGGTCCATCTCCATTCTCTCATTCTCTTTAACTGGAAGAGTGAATTTGTTCCTAGTGACTGGGTCTGGCACGCCTCCCAGTAGTATTCCTCACCACATGGGATGATAGTTGTGGAAAATTTTGATGTTTAAAATCGGGGGGGGGAGGTGGCAACCCTCCTCAAATGAAATACATATGCAAATTATTACTATTATTATATATTTGTTTTTCCAAGTTGCAGGCAAAGGCCTTCTGTAAGCATTCGTTTATAATTTAACCGCATTGAGTTTTCGTGCGTTTGGATTGTGAAGCAGTGCGGCTGTCATGAGCAAATTGTTGAATATATTACTGCTCCCCCTGCCGCCTTCTCTCGCGCCCCTTCTCTGGTACCAGACCGAGCATTCAGACTTGCAGAGCGTGTGACTTGACTACAGTCGCACTAATATACTCTCTTTTGTAGTATTTCTTCTGCTGGCACCTGACCTTGAAAAGACGGCTGGGCAGAGCAGTGGCGAATTGTTCCAGGTGATTCATGTCATTGCCCCTCTTTTCCCTCGGCCAGCTCGCCCTGAGGACGGTGCTCAATGCTGCCATGGTCACATGACTTACAAATAATCGAATCGATTCTTAGACATTAACTGGGATCAAAAAACTGACGGGAAAAAATGGTGTGATGTCACGAAGCTTAAAAAAGCTTTTCTTAGAATACAATAAGCTGTACTAAAAAAAAAACTAGTGGTTATGTAGAGGGACTTTTAAATCTTTTTGAAAAAATCTTTTTATGACTCTGTCTTCATGTACGCTTTCAGTCTTCTGCACATCTAGCAGTGACATCTGTGCCGATTCCTATCACAGCTCAGCGTAAAAAAAACAATGTTTCAGCTTTTTTCCTGCTGCTAAATACTTATGGCATGACTAGACGTCTCTGCGCTGCAGCTCATTGTCGCCGCTGGTACCAAGGCGCGGTAGCAATGAGTGAGGGAGCTTCCAGATGAATGCGCTCGTGTATGCGGGATGGAATGCTCGCTCTGAGTACAATAGGCAGAGCCGTGATGCGTTTATGCATGAGAGACAGCCGCTCGAGGATGAGGTGGGCTGGACATGCTGACCTGAAAAGAGGATGAGGGTAAAAGAGATGGGGTCTCCAGACAGAGGTGGCGTCCGCTGGGAGCAGGGAGGTGGACTTGGCCCCCGCCAAGCCTCTGATCTGCAGCCCAGCCCCTTTAACGAGTTCAGCACAGTGCCACAAAGACAAGGGTTCGGTCAGACTTTCCCTGTAACCCTATAGCTCTCGTCCAGGACTTCAAATGAATAATTTTCATTGACATAGCGACAGATACAAAATGAGAAGCTGAGTAAATGGGGGGGGGGGGGGGTTGAGAGGCCTGTGGGGGGGAGGAGGGAGAGAGGCCTCTGACAGAGGCGGCTCGCATGCGTGTTACAGATTCCGTCGCCTAGTCTCACATCTGGCGACTCTTTGGAGGGAAAACACATCAGCGCTCCCCGTTATCTCCCTGGAGGAGTCCGGCTTTTATCTCGGGCAGAGCTGAAGCCATAACCTTGGACTGAATCCCGGCACCATCGTCTGTAGCTACATAAGAAAGTCACTGTACGTTCACGCAAAGATCCGGAGTAACCGTGTGACAGTGGGGTTAGCCAGAACGACTGCATTTGCTGCTATCGCTTAGCACACAGATGCAGCCAACATCTCTGTGGTTTACTGGTGTGGCCCTTACCTCGCTGTGAAGATAAGGTACACTGTGTGTCCTTCCCAGGCTTGGCCTTGACAGACTCTCTCCTTGACAGACTCAGCATCTCCTACAAGTGTGAGAAAATGTCGTGAATGTAGTGAATGAGGGGTTACTTTTCTAACTTATCCCTTGGTCTGAAAACCCCAGAGGTATGTTTCCTATGTAACCTACAGTAACCCGGTCCTTGGGGACCCCCCAGACAGTCCACGTTTTTGCTCCCTACCAGTTGCTGGGAGACCAGGAGCTGAAGAGGGAGCAAAAATGTAGTGGCAGGGAGCTGAGAAGGAGCCAAAACATGGACCGGCTTGGAGTCCCCGAGGACCGGCTTGGAAAACACTGACCTAGAATGTAAAATTTACTGCTCCAGGTTGAGCTGCACAGTGACTCAGTGTATAACATTGTTTTCACACAAAGGCTGTGGCCTGCTGTCAACATAGAGCACTAAACACAATTAGTATTCTTGCCCAGTTAAATGAAAATAAAAACAGAGACAGTGTAGCAGTCCTCCCTGCTAATTCGCCGCTGCCATTCCATGCTCTGACTCTCACCCCAGCTTCCTATGGTGTGCATTGCTGCTACACAAAGCTTCTCTGTCTTCTGCTCCCTATTGAGTGGCGATCAATAAAAATCTGAATGCTGCATTAGGGACCCCTTAGACTCAAACTGGTTTTATCAGTGCTGTGTTTATTTATTTTTTTCCTTACTTCTATCACCACCACTTATTTATTTCAAATCTTGTCCTAACCTTCCCATGCTGTGAAGGGGTGCATCAAAAGAATCCTGTCTACAGGGGATATGGATCAAAGGTCCCAGTCTGGATTCCTTCTTTGTTATCTATAATATATAAATCTCCTTGCTTTTATGTAAAGGTGATTTGCACAGGTTGCCAGGAAGAGGCCACAGCTGGAACAGGATGCTGTCAACAGAGGTGGAAAGTTCAGGTCCAGAATGTACAAATCAAGACCAGGGTTTTGTTTCAACCAACTGCTTGAGTACTCTGTGACTGTGACTCTTTATACTCAACCAGTTGGTTGAAACAAAACCTTGGTCTGGATTTAAATATTCTGGACCTGAACTTTCCACCTCTGCTTGTCAAGTTCAGGAACAAGATCAGGGGAGGTGTAGTGCCTGTTATGTGGGAGGGGCTCTGGTCCTTTCTGATACACCTGCATGGACATACCTTCCGTTTTAGGTGGCTATACTACTATACTACAGTATAGATTTACACTCTTCACCATATATTTGATGAAACTGGGCTGTGAACATGCCACATGGGACCTATAAGACCCAGACAAAAGGCGTTCCAGAGAAACAACATCAATATGGCTGACACTGACTCAGCAATACCTGATAAATATAAAGGTGCTCAGAAACATAAAATGCCTAAAAAACATAAAAATGACAAATAATAAATAAACTTTTGAATGTCATCTATA